CGTGGAGAGCCCCCGCGCTCCCAGTGTTAACGTGTCCTCTGTGGGACTCGGTGGTGGGAGGTGGTGTCCTTCAGTAAGGAAAGCGCTGGGTTTGGGAGGTTTTTGGGCGGGAAATTTCAGCCGGAGCTGAGGGGAGCCTGAGCTCTTCACACAGGGTGCTGCATCCGTGTGGAACGTTACAGAAACTGGGCAAAACGTTCCCTTTAACGTCATGAAATCAAGTACGTTGGAAAAGACCTTTAAGGTGGTCAAGTCCAACCGTTAACCCAAACACTGCCAAGCTGACCTCTAAACCATGTCACTGAGGGCCTCATGTACATGGCTTTGGGCGCTTCAGGGGACGGTGACTCCACCACGGTGCTGGGTAGCCTGTTCCTGTGCTTGACAACCTTTGTGGTAAAGAAATTCTTAATATCCACTCTAAACCTGCCCTGGTGCAGCTTGAGGCTGTTTCCTCTTGTCCCATCCCTTGTTCCTTGGGAGCAGAGCCCAGCCCCTCCTGGCTCCATCCTCCTGTCAGGCAGTTGTAGGGAGCGATGAGGTCCCCCCTGAGCCTTCTCTTCTCCAGATTGAACCCCCCAGGTCCCTCAGCCGTTCCCCATCACACTTGTGCTCCAGGCCCTGCACCAGCTCTGTTGCCCTTCTCTGATATAGTTTGATCCATCTTGTGAACAAAAGATTGGCAAGAAGGACCCCAAGAGGGACAGGTTGACTTGATGGTGGGCAAAATTTGGCCAGTGTTCAGTTTTTCTGGATGCAGAGACAGGAGCACAGAGCCAGAGGAGCCCTCAGGTGTTACAGAAATACAGAATCAAGTCCAGAGGAGGCCATGAGGATGATCAGGGGCTGGAGCACCTCCTGTATGAAGACAGGCTGAGAAAGTTGGGGCTATTCAGCCTGGAGAAGGAAAGGCTGCATGGAGACCTCATAGCAGCCTTCCAGTATCTGAAGGGGGCCTATAGGGATGCTGGGGAGGGACTCTTCATTAGGGACTGGAGTGACAGGACAAGGGGTAACGGGTTCAAACTTACACAGGGTAAGTTTAGATTGGATATAAGGAAGAAGTTCTTTACTGTAAGGGTGCTGAGGCACTAGAATGGGTTGCCCAAGGAAGTTGTGAATGCTCTATCCCTGGTGGTATTCAAGGCCAGGTTGAGCAGAACCTTGGGTGACATGGTCTAGGCGAGGTGTCCTTACCCATGGCAGGGGTTTGGATCTGGATGATCTTGTGGTTCTTTCCAACCCAAGCCATTCTGTGACTCTATGATTTCAGAGTTACAGATAGCATAAGACCCGTTTTACATAGCTAATAGATAAAAAAGGCACGTTGCTTCTTGTAATTTGCAATTAATTACCTAATTAAATAATTGCCATTAATTCAAAGCCTGCCTTCTCTTTGAAAAACCCTGCTTAAAAACAAGTAGAAAGAGAAGAAATTAAAATGTTGCTTTTCTTACCTGATTTTAATTACTCTTTTTATCTCCAAGCAAACATAGCACCCCTGGCCTGTGGTGTAGAGGACCATAGACGCATGGAAGCTCCCAGCACCTTCAGGAAGTCACTAATTATTTTTATAATTAATTGATTTTCAGGCTCTCTGTGTTGATTTCCTGAAGCATTTCAAGCTCAACACACAGGAGTTGTTTCTCCATGAGCAGCTGTGGGGCATTGGACTGATGGTTTTGACAGCAGAGATGAATCAAGGATGTGGTGCTGCAGTCCTGACCTAGGTTTTGAGCTCTTCTTCAGTGCCTTTGCCTCCTCTCAGAGAGAGAGGGGGCAGAAGATCTCGACATCTGATTGCCATTGATCCAAGCTGATTTGCTGAGTGTTGGCTTTGTGTTGTAGAATCATAGAATAGTTAGGGTTGGGAATGACCTCAAGATCATGTCTGCATGCTCCTTGGTAGAGGATTTCAATCTGAAAAAAAAAACCTTAAGTACCTTGAGAAGTGGTAATGGGATGCTCTGATCTTACATTTCTCCATTTAGCCATTGCCTCTACCACCAGTGCCTCATTTAAAAAAAATAAAGCAGGGGGAGGTAAAAGCAGAAATGAGCATGGCTGATATTTAAGCCCTGACTTACAGTTTTTTCCTTTCTGATTTCTTTTTTTTTTTTGGGGGGGGGGGCAACGATGACGAGGGGCCTGGATCATGTTTTCATAGAATCACAGAATGGTTTGGGTTGGAAAGGACCTTAAGATCATCCAGTTCCAGCCCCCTGCCATGGGCAGGGATGCCTCACACTAGATCATGTCACCCAAGGCTCTTTCCAACCTGGCCTTGAACACTGCCAGGGATGGGGCAGCCACAGCTTCTCTGGGCACCCTGTGCCAGTGCCTCAGCACCCTCACAGTAAAGAACTTCTTCCTTATATCTAAGCTGAACCTCCCCTGTTTCAGTTTGAACCCACTCCCCTCTTGTCCTATCACTACAGTCCCTGATGAAGAGTCCCCCTCCAGCATCCCTGTAGGCCCCCTTCAGATACTGGAAGGCTGCTATCTGGTCTCCACTCAGCCTTCTCTTCTCCAGGCTGAACAGCCCTGACTTTCTCAGCCTATCTCCATATGGGAGGTGCTCCAGCCCCTGATCATCCTCATGGCCTCCTCTGGATTTGCTCCAACAGTTCCTTGTCCTCTTTATGTTGAGGACACCAGAAATGCACACACTGTTGCAAGTGGAGGTCTCTCAAGAGGAGAGTAGACTCTTATTTCCTGGAAATAAGCAGAAATTATAGAGGAATTATTCTAGGGGAAAAAATAATAAATTAATATTTTCAGGTGCTAACATGACTGAAAGAAAAGCCAAATACATGCAAATTCATGCCAAAGTAGTGAGGTCGGGTGTTGCTGCCTCATGTCCTGTGTCAGGTACAGGAGTGGGAGGGAGGTACCTGCCTTGCGGGAGCTATGCCGGGGTCTGACCTTGTCTCTTCCCTTGATTCTGAGGTTAGGATGGCCACATCTGAAGACAGAAATGTGGGAAAGTGTCTCCACGAAGGAAAACACATGCAGGGGTATCCATGCAGCCCATTAGTACCGGTATGGATGTGACCCTCTAGAGCTGAAACTAAACAAGACCAGGGTATGGAAGTGGGCACTGAGCATAACTGACTGCACTGGTTAATTAAAAGCATAGTTCTTGGCATGGGCCATGGGGAAGCATCCTCACATAGATCTGCATATGTCCCCTGGTCCCTCCTGCCTGTGCTAGGTTCAGTCTCTGCAGGAAAGAAGGGGCAGGAAAGCAGCTTTGCCAGCAAAAATCGCCAAGAGGAGCAGTGAGCCACATCTCTGCTGCAGCTTTGGGTCACTGTGGCTGCAACCAGCAGTCGTGTACCACATACTGCTGGGGCAGCATTGCTGGAATGGCTGCTGGAGGACATGTGGGATCAGAAAGGGAATCCGGTGCATCCAGGGGAACATAGAACAGAATCATAGAATCATAGAATAGTTAGGGTTGGAAAGAACCTTAAGATCATCTAGTTCCAACCCCCCTGCCATGGGCAGGGTCACCTCACACTAAACCATGTCACCCAAGGCTCTGTCCAACCTGGCCTTGAACACCGCCAGGGATGGAGCATTCACAGCTTCCCTGGGCAACCCATATAGTGCCTCACCACCCTTACAGTAAAGAACTTCCTTATATCTAATCTAAACTTTCCCTGTTTAAGATTTAACCCATTACCCCTTGTCCTATCACAACAGTCCCTAATGAAGAGTCCCTCTCCAGCATCCCTATAGGCCCCCTTCAGATACTGGAAGGCTGCTATGAGGTCTCCATGCAGCCTTCTCTTCTCCAGGCTTAACAGCCCCAACTTGCTCAGCCTGTCTTCATACAGGAGGTGCTCCAGTCCCCTGATCATCCTCGTGGCCTCCTCTGCACTTGTTCCAACAGTTCCATGTCCTTTTTATGTTGAGGACACCAGAACTGCACACAGTGCTGCAAGTGAGGTCTCATGAGAGCAGAGCAGAGGGGCAGGATCACCTCCTTCGACCTGCTGGTCACGCTCCTTTTGATGCAGCCCGGGATACGGTTGGCTTTCTGGGCTGCGAGCACACACTGAGGCTGGCTCATGTCCATTTTCTCATCGACCAACACCCCCAAGTCCTTCTCCGCAGGGCTGCTCTGAATCTCTTCTCTGCCCAACCTGTAGCTGTGCCTGGGATTGCTCCAACCCAGGTGTAGGACCTTGCACTTGGCATGGTTACACCTCATGAGGTTGGCATCAGCCCACCTCACAAGCGTGTCAAGGTCCCTCTGGATGCCATTCCTTCCCTCCAGCGTATCAACCAAACCACACAGCTTGGTGTCATCGGCAAACTTGCTGAGGGCGCTCTCAATCCCACTGTCCATGTCAGCGACGAAGATGTTGAATAAGACCGGTCCCAACACCGATCCCTGAGGGACACCTCTCGTTACTGGTCTCCAGCTGGACGTTGAGCCATTGACCACAACTCTTTGCGTGCAGCCATCCAGCCAGTTCTTTATCCACCGAGTTGTCCATCCATCAAATTGATGTCTCTCCAATTTAGAGACAAGGATGTCATGTGGGACAGTGTCAAATGCTTTACACAAGTCCAGGTAGATGACATCAACTGCTCTACCCCATCCATCAGTTCCGTAGCCCCATCATAGAAGGCCACCAAATTGGTCAGGCAGGATTTCCCCTTAGTGAAGCCATGCTGGCTGTCACCAAGCACCTTGTTGTTTTTCATGTTCCTTAGCATGCCTTCCGGGATGCTCCAAGATTTTGCCAGGCACAGAGGTGAGACTGACTGGTCTGTAACTCCCCGGGTCATCCATTTTCCCCTTCTTGAAAATGGGGGCTATATTTCCCTTTTTCCAGTCATCAGGAACTTCACCTGACTGCCATGATTTCTCAAATATGAAGGTCTTCATCCTCACAGGCCCTGCATCTGCCTTCCACGACTTGGGTGGTGTGGGCAGAGCCTTTGCCAGTGAAGACCGAGGTAAAGAAATTCAGAACCTCAGCCTTCTCCAAATCCAGGGTAGCCAGTTCTGAGAGCTTCCATAGAGGGCCCACGTTGTCCCTAGTCTGTCTTTTATTCGCTATGTACCTACAGAATCCTTTCCTGTTATCCCTAACATCCCTAGCCAAGTTTAATTCTAACTGGGCCTTAGCTTTCCTAACCTGGTCCCTAGCTTCCCGGACAACATCCCTGTACTCTTCCCAGGCCACCTGTCCTTGCTTCCACCTTTTGTAAGCCTCTTTTTTCCTTCAAATTTTCCTCAGGAGCTCCTTATCCATCCAAGGAGGTCTCCTGGCCCTCCTGCTGAGCTTCCTTCTAGTTGGGATGCAACACTCCTGATCTTGTAGCAGGTGATCCTTGAATATCAACCAACAGTCTTGGGCCCACTGCCCTCTAGGGCTATATCCCATGGAACCTTCCTAAGCAGGTTCCTGAAGAGGCCAAAGTCTGCTCTCTTGAAGTTCAGTGCAGTGAGCTTGCTGCACGCTCTTCTCACTGTCCTGAGAATCTCAAATTTGACCATCTCGTGATTGCTGCATTCAAGGCTGCCCTGGAGCGTCACATTTCCAACGAGCCCTTCCCTGTTGGTGAGCACGAGGTCAAGCATGGCACCTCTCCTTGTCGGCTCCTCTATTACTTGCAGAAGGAAGTTGTCTTCCACACAGTCGAGGAACATACTGGATTGCTTGTGCCGGGCCATAAAAAAACCACCCTTTTGATGCAGGATCATAAGCAGAACCCTAAAAGTGTAGTGATGGATCCAACAGCCCTGGGGAGAGCTGGCACTGCTGGAACCACCTGGTTTATCTGACATTTTCCTGGAGTTAAGTAATGGTTTTCCAGAGTTAGAAAATTCTCAAATGGCATCACTTTTTATTTTGTTTTTTTTTTTCTCTATTTTTTTCTTATTCCCAAGGGCTTTTATCACCATCTGTGTGCAAAATCTCCAGCAGGAATCCGTAATCTGGAGTGATTTGGTCTAATGTCATGAGAAGGGTCTGCTCTGCACACCTTAGGAAGTGCAAAGAGGAAAAAGACAAGAAGATGGAGCCCTCCTAATTTCTCAGTCTTATCAGAGCCACTGCCTCCTGTGCTGACATAAGGAACACAACCCATGTCCTTCACCTTTACAGGTGCAGGGCCTGTATTTCTTCAGTCTTTTTCCCTTGGATGACTCAGAGCATGGATTATTAGCAGCTCAGATTTCCTTGGCCAAAGTGCTTTGTTGCAATACATCCAGGTTAAATCTAAGCAGTGTTTCTGATCTGTGTAAGCTTTTGACTTGGTTCTGCGTCTTTGGCGTGTACAAAATACTCTACATTTGAACTCTCCCTTTTCTGTTTCTTAAATGTGAGCAGAAACTTTTGTGTTTAAACAAAACAATGCAGCCTCCCCCTGCAATGTTTGTAACCAAGGAGTTGTGGCACCACAAGAGCATGAGAAAATCTTGCTGATTAAAACCAGGGTAAGAACTGACAGCGAAAGTGATCTTTGTGTTTTTTCCTCATTGCAGGATTCACAATGAAGTGGCTGGTAAAATGGGAGCAGCTGGTTCAGCTCTGCTTGAACGCTGGATTTAATGTGCTGAAACTACTTCCACTGGTGTGTGTGGCTGGGCATGTGTTTTTGATGCAAAAGCTTTAACTTTGGTGTGATATTTCACATGTTAAAACACATCTCTCAGCATAGCTTTCCCCCCACCTCAAAATGCTTTGACAAAGCAAAGTAAGTTTGTGTTATTATCAGCTTCCCTTGCCTCATTTTTCTCTTCTTCTTGCTTCTCATTAATACACAAGTGGTATTAAATAAATAATAATGATGCCAGTAGTGGCCTCTGCTGTGCCTCAGCGTTTGCTCCTTTTTGCTTCGAGGAGCAGATGTTCCCTGTCTTTGTTTTCTGTTGCCAAACGGGGACTTTGCCCCTTTAACCTTTGATAAGGTACTTTAATAGTCTCTGACGTGAGATTTTATCAAAAGCCTTGGCAAAAGCCACAGAAATGATACCTGCCTCGCAGCTTGGATTAGATGTTTCCATCGTGGTTTACAGCAGTTAAGGTAGGGCAGTTTCCTCTGTGTTTTTGCAGGGTCTATTTATTCAGTGCTCCCTTTGCCTGGGTGCCCTTTCCCCAGCCCTGGTGGCCTCAGGCTGTGCTGAGCTCCCTCACCGAGGTTAGCATCTACTGTGGAGGGAACACCCATGGGAGGGTGTCTGCAGTTGTGGGTGCTGCTCCAGCACCAGCCCCTAACCCACCTGCACTGTGTACCGGTCCAATGAGGTGATGCTGCCTACAAATGGTCTATGGGGTCCAACTAGACTTTATTGGACCTCATTTTCCAATGACTGCTGATGTTGGATGGGGAGGGTGGTGTGTACACAAATGCTGCTGGGGTATCGGTGCTTGTTCTCCTCTGTGGGCTGGGCCAGGGGCTGCTGTCTGCTTTTGCACCAGCAGTTAAATACCATTGTGCTTTAAAGCTGATCTGACCCTTCCTAGAGACACCCTCACAATGTCCGTCTCTTCCTCGTCCCTTTTGCAGTGTTTCCTACCTTGCTTCTGCACTCAGCCATCCCCAAAGCCCCAAGGGAAAGCCCACATCCCAGTTTCTATCTGCTTTTTTGCCCAGACATCCACATGGCTCGTAGGAACAGCCACCAGCTCTGGGCTGGGGCGGTGAGGGCTCTCCACGGGGTGGGCAGGCTGAGCTGTGCCTCCTGTAGAAGTGAGCCTCCTCCATGAAGCCTTGTGAGCAGTTTGGGAAGGTGGTAATTCGTGCCCAAGTGCTCTCAATGCAGAGCTGCTCTTTGTTACTGCCCATTTGGTTACCACATGGGAAGCAAACCAGGCACATGGGGCTGGGCGATGCCCCTCTGCCACACTCCCTGCAGCGCTGCTGCTCACCCTACAATGAGCCACCTCCTTCCCCTCCAGCCCCATGCTGATGACATGTGCTTTGGTAGGCGAGCCTCATGCCTTGCATTGCCCACTAGCATGCTGCTTGTGTCCTTCACCCTTTGTAGGTCTTCTTTCTCCCAAGTCTCATCGCACCATGCTGAGCCTGGGCATTCCCCCATGCCAAAAAAGCTTTGGCAGAGACATGCCCTGAGGAGAGCTGCTTCTGCAACACAGATGGCACCAGCCCAACCCCATGATCACCATCAGGAGGCTGCTTTGCCCCATGCACAGCCCATACATCCTGTGCTTTCCTGCACCAAGATCCTTTCCAAGGCTTGAGCCTATAAATAATCAAGGAGCCTCTCCTCCTGCCTGGCTTTGTGAGCTGCTCCCTTCTTTGTTTCAGATAGGGCTTGCCATCCTGCCAGCCAGACCTGCAGCCACCCGATACAGGCTCCCTTGGGATAAGCCTTGACTTCCCACATTACAGTCTGGAGCGATGGGTGCAGCCGAGCTGAGCCAGCTATCCTATTCCAGTTGCTGGCACTCGCTGGAACATCTGCCTCGCCTGCACTGTGCTTGTTGATGAAGCTGTGAGCAGCTCCCAGCGTGTTGTTTGGGAATATAAATTGAGTTCCTCCGAGCTGGAACCACCTGCTTCAGAAAATTTCTTTGGCAAGGAGTCTTCTTACTTACTCTTCATCCAGGATTTTTCTGCCTCCCACTGCTGCCAGCCTGACCTAGCAGCTGGGGGGGGTTGGTGCTGATGGGTGGGAGTTTAGGTGGACCCATGGGAGAAATGCTGTCCTGCTGCCAGAGCACAGCAGAAGGGAAACGTGCTGTTTAAACCATGTAATTGTAGAATCACAGAATGGGTTGGAAAGGACTTCTAAAGGTTATCTAGTTTCAATCCTCTGCCATGGGCAGGGACACCTTCCACTAGCCCAGGTTGCTCCAAGCCCCATCCAACCTGGCCTTGAACACTGCCAGGGATGAGGCATCCACAGCTTCTCTGGGTGACCTGTTCCTATGTCCCACCACCCTCATTATTAAAAACTTATTTCTTATCTAATCCAAATAATCTATCCAATCATAATCTACCCTCTTTCATCTTAAAAGACCTCTCAGACCTTCCAGCAGGAGTGGTGCAGAGGGGCTGGGGCTTCATCCAGAGGAGTTTGCCCAAGTCCCATCAAGATGCAGGTGGGATGTGCGCCACTTCACCACCACTGACGGCCTCAGCTTGGACTCCGTTTTGCTTTGGGTGCTTTGTTTTTTGAGGTTCCAGGCACTTGCTGATGCTGAACTGAGGTTGGTTGGATGTGGGAGCAAAGCAAGCAGCTCCCAGGGAGAAAAGCAACTGTTGAAGGGGCAAAACAACCTCAGCAACCCTGATTGCTTTCCCTGCTGGGAACCAGAGGGTGGTGATGAGTGGTGCTGCAGCTGTTTCCTTTTCCCCTCCACTGGGTGACACAGAGCCCTCCAGGTCTGTCCCTGCCTCTGCTCCTTCTTCTGCCCCAGGAGTATCCACTAATAAATGTCTAATACGGATCCATTTAACACGTCTGAATTATTGGTTGCTGAAGTAGAGCTGAATCCCACCCTGGGATCATGCAACCAGGCACCCAGAACTTGAGCTAACAGGGAATAGAGGTTTATACCCCAAATTCCTCCCTTGGGAAACAGGCACCATGCCAGCAAAGTGCTCTCAGGGCTGCGGGTGAGGTGCCCTGGAAGAGGCCACATGTTTCCGATGCAACTGCTTGTCTCTGCAGTGATCACTGCTGTACAATGGTGTATTTTTCCCATTGGAAAAGCAAAAACAGACCAAATCCCTGAGCAGGGGTTCAGTGGTTTGCTCTCCTTGAGGGGCTGAATGTGAGCTTGTTACCATTATAGTCTCACAGGGACCATCAGTGAAGCTGCCAGGAGGTGAAGTCTCTCTGGTGGGGCTGGATCTCCCACCATGCTGAGACATGTGGATGGATGGATGGATGGATGCCCACCATGCTGAGACATGTGGATGGATGGATGGATAGATGGATGGATGGATGGATGGATGGATGGATGGATGGATGGATGGATGGATGGATGGAGGAGGGCACTGGGGCTCCCTGCAGCCTCTGCACCCCCATATGCAGCCCTGCACTCTGTGGGCATGCCCGTGTCAGTGGGGAGTGCTGCAGTGTGGTGGTGCACATCCTCTCTAAGGGCTTTTTTTCCAGCATTTAGAAGAAAATAACCCACCAAAACACACAGGGAGAGCAATGATCATGCCATTAAATCTTCCCATTTATCCATCCCTTGCATCCCACTGCTTTCCCATCCCCTGCTGCAGCCAATTCCAAATGCTTTTCCCCAGGACTGGCACAAAATAAACTTGCCTTTGCAGGACCTCATGCTTGGGCAGCAGCATAAGCCCATAGAGGCGAACGCCCAGGGGCAGCGTGGGTGCCCCTGCGGATGGATATCCCTCCAGGTGGAGTATTGTCCTATGCGGATGGGAAGGCAAAGGTGACTGCGGGCAGTGCTTGGGGGGTAAGCAGCAAAGCAAAACCCAGCAAACAGCCCCAGTGCCAAGCTGCTTTGATTTCCAGAAATGCAATTAACACCTGCACTGATGCAACTCCGTGCCTGAGAGCAAAGCAGCGGGAAAGGGCTGATCTTCCCAAATGCAAAGCATTGCCCCAAGCCCCATCCACCGCTTGCTCGAATGATGCCTGTGGAGTCCAAGGAGTCACTGCAGAGCCAAGTCTGAGCATTGTTTTTAACTCAGTTATTGCATTTAATCCAAGCTGTAGAGCCAAACCTTGCTATGACTAATGTTCTTAGAACTATTTGTGTCTATGGTGTAACTGGTGGGTCAGGGAATAGATGTGGGCTCCAAATAAATGGGTTCTCTGCCCTTTTAGGGGCATTGATTTAATTTAGGTGGTTCTGCAAAACGTGCTGTGGAAGTTGGAGAGTGAAGATCAGCTGTGGGATGGGTGGATTGCAGCAAAGAAACATAGGGGGCTGCTGGCAGGTCTGCTTGTGCCACCTAAACTGCCACCAACCACCACTGAAATTGCCACCAGACATCAGCCTCATGTGCACCTCCTGATACTCAGCCGATAGCGCCAGAGACAGAGCAAACCAACCCAATCTTACCAGTTTGGACAAAGACTATAAGCACTGGCATGGCTCTTGCTTATAGAATCACAGAATGGTTTGGGTTGGAAAGGACCTTTAAATCTCATCTAGTCCAACAGGGACATCTTCAAAGAGATGAGGTTGCTCAGAGCCCGGTCCAACATGGCCTTGAATGTTTCAAGTGATGGGGCATCTACCAACTCCTTGGGCAACCCTCATCATAGAACATTAATTCCTAAATCTAGTCTATCATGGCCATGCCCATGATGATCTTGGTGGTGCATAACACAGGCGGGTCAGGGTGGTCCTGCACAACTGGTGGTGCTGTCCTGTACTGCATCCCCAGCATCCCACCCAGGGGCACCATTGGCATGACTGGGATGGGCACGGTTTGCTCCAAGTGACTCCCCACTGCCCACAGACCCTGCAGTGCTCACAACATAGAGTCCAAATATCCTTGTGTGAGTTGACTGCTATCAGAAGCAAAGATAATACTTTAGAGTTGATCTCCTTGAACGGGCAACAATCTTCCGGTGAGTTCTAGACCGAGGAGGCAGAGTTCAGGGTAGGAAATTGCTTTTAAATTCAGCCATTTAAGATATCAGTATTAGTTTTGCTTCTAAAACTTCCCGAGTGTGAGCAAGAATCACCTCGGCCACCCACATCTGCTAAATATTTAGTCATTTTTAACAAGTTAAACAAAGCCCTTTGATTGGATTTATGCTAATGGCTCCTCCGTAGGCATTTCTGATTCATTTCCATTTCATTTTCAAATTGCCTGTGTACACTGCTGATTCTCAC